GGAGTGAGGAGCAGCCCGGAGGCGCCCCTCGACACAGGGGACACAGGAAGGTCCTGGTCCGGAGGGGAGGGGAGGGAGAGACTGGGGAAGACCAGAGACAAGGACACGGGAAGCCATGCTTCGAAGACGGGGCGAGGAAGGGTGGCCCAGACGGTGGTGCCATAGGAGAGTCTCGTGAGACAGGAGGCGACACGAACAGGGGGCAGACTCAGGACCTGACCGGGACGCAGCAGCAAACACCTGACCTGACGCAGCTACCTGACCAGACGCAGGGACAGGAGGAGACGTAGTGGTTAGGGTGTAGAGGCTCGACCCCGGCCGACGCGAGAACGTGGCCATGTGTCGGCCTGTGCGTGCGTCCGTGCAGTGGGTCACCCGCTGACTCGCAGGAGTGAACTGGTGAACCCCCGCATCCTGTAGGTCCGCACCACTCTCCAAGTTCGTCGAGAACGAGGGAAGGTACAGACCAGACAGGGTGCCCGAGGGGGCAGCCGGACACGGGAGGACAGTGGAGAAGTGAGAGAGGACAGGACCCCCAGAGGGGTCAGCCAGGGAGACCGCAACCGGCCGGCCAAGCGGCGTGAGGGTGGTGCGGTCTCGAAAGAAGGAGCGAGAAGCCCCGGAGTCAAGTGTGAAAGTGAGGGAGGACGAAGGCGACGCAGTATGTGAGAGCGCAGTCTCACCAGCACCTGAGAGCGCAGACGCACTGGCACCTAGAGCAGCAGCCTCACAAGCACCTAGCGCAGCAGTACCAATGCCCGGGTCGGGCGGGAAACACCGGTAACAGTCACCCTCCTCACTAATAGTCACAGCATACATAGCAGCAAGGATAGCATCAAAATCAAGATCAAAGATCGCTACACCAGCCCTAAGAAGCTCATCCCAGCGAGGGATCTCACTAGCCTCGGGGAACTGCTGACGCCAAGCGTCCGTCAGGCGGCCAAAGCAGCGCTGGGTGGGGTGGGCACCCCCACACTGCTCGCCCGCGCGGTCGTCAGAGCGAAGGACGTAGGTACAAGGACCAGTACCCCCACCCCTCTGACGTCAAGTGTACCACTCACGGAGCTGCTGGGGCGGAGGAATGTCGCGCGAACGCTGCTGCTGCTGCTGCGAGCGCTGACCACCACCACCGCCGCTCCGCTGCTGGGTACCGCCCCGACCAGCTCCACCTCCTCCCCCACCACCGCCTCCTCCGCCGCCGCCTCCCCCACCGTCACCGCCACCACTGCCGCCACCACCACGGCTGCCGCCACCACCGCCGCCTCCTCCGCCGCTGCCACTACTACCACCACCACCCCCTCCACCACTCCCGCCGCCACCCCCACTCCCTCCGCCGCCTCCACCGCCACCTCCACCGCCCCCTCCAGCTCCACCCGCGCCCTTGCCCCCCTTGCCCTTGCCAGAGCGGCGTCTCCCACTAGGGGCAGACGCCGCGCCAACCGACTCGAGACCAAGCAGGTCGGCAGCAGCAGCAGAGGCAACAGAGGGCAGGAGGGGGGAAGGAGAGCACCCCTCAAAGATGGGGGTGCGAGGGTCACCACGAGAAGCTCCTACAGCGACGATGCTCTTCTCCGCCGCGAGGAGGGCCTTCTCGAGGATGTCGACGGTGAGGGTGGTGGGACAGACCGCGAGAAAGTGGTCCCTGACTACGCGAAGAGAGTCAGGGAGCCGCGCGACTACGTAGTAGAGAGTGATGTACATGGGGGGGGGGGGTTCTTGGCGCAGAACTCAGCAGGAAGTGCAGCGCGGTAGCGAGTGTCACTAGTGCGGAGGTGCGTAATGAGGTCAGCGACAGTGGGAAAGGCAGAGAGGTCAGGAAAGAGGTAGGGAAGCATGAGACGGCTCAGTGCAGCAGTGGCAGGGGAGGAGTAGCGCGCGACTACAGCGTCGTACAAGGTCTGAGCACTCTTGTACTGACTAAAGTGCGCGCGCTCAGAGGTAGGGAGGTGGCGACGCACAGCAAGACGTGCAGCAGCATCGCGGGTGGCCCACTAAGAGCGCACAGTGGGATCAGCATCAGCAGCAGGGGCAGGAGAGGCACCAGAAGTGAGGTCAAAGAGAGAAAGGCCGTCTGCTCTGTCGCACTGTAAGAACAGCTGCAGGTCGTCGACCCAGACCTCAAAGTCAATGGCGCGACCCTTAGCGTCAAAAGCTAGGACACTAGGGGTAGCCATGACAGCAGTAGAAGGTCTCACCAGACAGGACGGGTCGGGCAGCGCAGTAGCACAGCAGTACAGCAACACAGCAGCTCAACCGGCTCAGCAGCAACAGCAGCTCCGCAGGACCAGCGGCTCGGCTCCTCAGGCGGTGCAGGCGGCTCGGGCGGCTCGGGCGGCTCGGGCGGCGAGGGCGGCTCGGGCGGCTCGGGCGGCTCGGGCGGCGCGGGCGGCTCAGGCGGCTCGGGCTGTCAGCGACACAGGGCGGCCCGGGGCTGGGACGGGCGGCGCGCGGGCGATCAGGGGCCGGGACGGGCGGCGCGCGGGCGTCGAGAGGCCGGGACGGGCGGCCAGCGGGCGGCTAGGGGCCGGGGCGGCGGCGCGCGGGCGTCGAGGGGCCGGGACGGGCGGCCAGCGGGCGGCTAGGGGCCGGGACGGCGGCGCGCTGGCGTCGAGGGGCCGGGACGGGCGGCCAGCGGGCGGCTAGGGGCCGGGACGGGCGGCCAGCAGGCGGCTAGGGGCCGGGACGGGCGGCGCGCGGGCGTCAAGGGGCCGGGACGGGCGGCCAGCGGGCGGCTAGGGGCCGGGACGGGCAGCGCGCGGGCGATCAGGGGCCGGGACGGGCGGCGCGCGGGCGTCGAGAGGCCGGGACGGGCGGCCAGCGGGCGGCTAGGGGCCGGGACGGCGGCGCGCGGGCGTGGAGGGGCCGGGACAGGCGGCCAGCGGGCGGCTAGGGGCCGGGACAGGCGGCGCGCGGGCGACTAAGGGCCGGGACGGGCGGCGCGTGGGCGGCTAGGGGCCTGAACGGGCGCGCGCGGGCGGCTAAGGGCCTGAACGGGCGGCGCGTGGGCGGCTAGGGGCCGGGACGGGCGGCGCTTGGGCAGCTAGGGGCCTGAACAGGCGCGCTAGAGCGGCTAAGGGCCTGAACGGGCGGCGCGTGGGCGGCTAGGGGCCGGGACGGGCGGCGCGTGGGCGGCTAGGGGCCTGAACGGGCGCGCGCGGGTGGCTAGGGGCCGCAGGGCAGGCCGAAAAAAAAAAGTGAAAGCGAGGGCCCGGAGCGCGCTCCGGGCAGAAAAAAAAGTTTAAAGGAGGTGGGCCCTAAGCACAGTTCCCACGGGGGAACCTGCTCGATACCATGTTGAGAATTGAACGAGAATGAATGAACTATGAATGAACTGAGTACAAGTACTAACCCTAATTGTACCCCTTATGGGCTACCCCACTATAGCCTACACAATAAGCACAAGCTATATGTTCTGACAGTTCGTACGTGCCGAAAACACACACGCTCACATGAACGCGCTCACGCACGTTTACAACGCCAACTCGAGTCATGTTCACATTTCAAGTTCGAACTTTCATTAGGCCTGAAATTCGCGATGTTCGTCACACGTTCTTGACGAGATTGGCGAAAAAGGTAACCACCTAAAGTTCGAACTGATTTTCGAACTTTGGAACGGAACGAACGCGCCCTTCCCGTTACCACATTAGTTTAGCTATATATTCTTCGCTCAGCCTTCGCTTATTGTACTCTTGTTTAGATAGTGCAATTCTCGCTCGCTCACTCAATTGCACTCATAACACCCCGTAGGAACTGTTGGCGGGAACAGTCTAACTAAGCAGGGGCGCGAACTAAGGAAAAGGAAATTTCCTTACACCAAGTATGCATGGAATTTTGCCTGCTTGGCGAACTCAGGCGAAATCGGAAAATCTACTGGCTTCGCACAGTTATTCCAGCCTCGTACGATCGTCACCGCCGCATATTTCGTTCACGCTCTTCGCGTATGCGCGGTTGTGCGTGCAGCGATAACCGTCTCCGCGAGGAAACCAACAGTCTTTTCAAATCCCAAGGTCGATTTGGATTCAAGGGACAAGCACTGCAGCCTTTGCCTTACCTGGTCGATTTTTGTTCCTGCTTGCGACGCGTTGGGATTACCAACAAGCTCTTGTCTGCTAAATCCGTCGTGCTGGCCTGTCGTTATTCGGGTAGACAAACTCTCTGGTGGCAAACGTTGATGTTGGACGCGACGCGGATCATGCGTGTCGTTAGACACGCGGATTGCTTTCTAACCGTCTGCAGTTCTGTTTCTGCGCGAAAGTCTGGTAGCGAAACGAGGACTCTTCGGAAAGACATGAGGAGTCAGAGACCAGGGGGTTCAAAGGAAGGGACGCTGATCTGGTGGTAGTTAGCGCTGTCGTTTCGGTTAACCACCAGCAAACGCGATCGTCGCATGGATTACATAATGTCGGCAGATCGAGCCGCTCATGAGATGCCTGATTGTTTTGGACTTACCTCCGACCCGATGCTCTTCAGCGACTCTTGGCTTGTCCCGCCAGCCGCATGAACCGCTCTACACCGAGACTAGTACGACTCATGAAGACAAAGAGAGTATTTCGTGGCGATCACTCCGAGTCAAAGTCTTCGCCACAGCGACGACGACAGCGGCGGCATTCGTAACGGCTGCGACGTGTGAGCGACGATTGCGATGCACCTTGCGTCGCATCACCCGCCGCCTCGCCGCTTCCCGCAGACCCTTCGCCTCCTCCTTCGTCGCGTCGCCTCGAGCTAGTAGCTCTTCCTCCACGCCACACATCCGACGCCGAGTCGCGGATATCTCATTAACCACCTCTTCTCCAAATCCGTGCAGCTGTGCACGCCTCTTCCTCTGCCTATAAAGCCGACGCCTTGTGTAGCCATGGATTCATCAGCTCCACTCCGCCTCAATCGGCCTCTTCTCCCTTCAATTTCCTCCTCAAACAGCCGCTTGCAGCAGCCTCTCAGCTCCTGCTCCTGCTCGAGCCGATTTTTTAGCCGACTCACAGGTTACTTCCTCGCCTCTCCTCATGGCGACGGCTGGGATGCGCGTGCTGGTGCTGGCGGCGCTGGCGGTGGGGCTGCTGGCGGCAGTGGTGAGTGGAGCGCGGGACGCCATGAAGGTAGCCAGGGGCCTCGTCCCATCGGAGGGGGGCGCGCCTGGCGGGGCGGGGGCGGCGGGGCAGCAGAGGAAGGGTGCGCGCATTCTGGCGGCTGAGACCTTCGCTCACCACGAGCCTCTGCCCGGCTACCTCGACCACATCCCCCGCCGCCAGGCCCTCGCCACCAGTACGCACAAATTCTTTCCACTCTCTTCTTTTACCCGCTGCTGATCCATGTGTGCTGCTGCTCCCCAACCTCCCACTGCCATCACTGCTCCCCTGCTCACCTTCCCTTTCATTCCTATGCTCCCCTTGCCTCTCATTCCTCTGCGCCCCTGCTCATTATTCTGCTCCCCTATCTCTCATTCATCTGCTCCCCTTGTCTCCCACAACGGTGACCTGCACAGCCCACCCCTACTCACCTCTTCCCCTTCACCTTTCCCTTCTGCCCTCTCCTCCCCCACAGCATGTGGGCGCACGACGGTGACGATCCGCTCGCAGTACCTGGGGCCGTACGACCTGCACAACGACATCTACAACATGACCTTCTACAACGGCTGCGCCTACAACGTCACCAGCCCGCTGCGCGTGTGGCAGTGCTTCAACTTCGGCAACGTGTGGGAGGGCATCCTCGACAACCCCGCGCCCAACCCCACGCAGTACCAGCAAGGCGAAATCTTTGTGCAGACGACGCCGGGGTACTGTGAGATGCGCATGAACCGCGGTGCAAGCGGCACTCTACAGATGCTCCCCGGGGAGACGGTGAACATTGTGTATGCGTACTTGTGGGACTTCCGGCCCTGCGTGCAGGAGCTGCGCTTCGGCAATGGCAACAGCTACTCCATGACCAACACCACCGAATGCCAGCTCGCAGCTGTTATTTAGTTTGGACTTTTCGTGCGTGTGAGGGTTGATAGCATACACGTGATGGATGTGACTTGTGGTGCAGAGGAAATGTGATGCGGAGAGCTGGTGGAGGGGGAGGAGGTTGGGTGGGATAGGTAATATTGTAAAAAGAGTGTACCGGTAATGTATATGGAACTTCCGTGAATCCTAATCACTACAGTTGCAGTGGTTTCGCCTCCCAATACTCCCCTCCCCACTGTCCTCATTTACATGCTCACAAACGCTACCCGACCGCTTTGTTGATAACAGAAACCGTTTGGCTAGCAGTTGGCATGAAAGTCGCTCCTGCATCCATGAAAAGGTAAAACACCACTCGGATTCTCTATGGTTCTCGGTGCGATATTCTCCATCACTGCTAGAGTTTCGTCAAATGAAGTACCGGTACCACAAAAATAGTATTATTCTCCTGTGCAACTTAGGCAGCAAGGCCACAAGAGGTATGCCATACCCCATACCCATACCATTCGAAACTAAAGAAAAAGAGAAGGGTGGAATGTACATGGAAAGACACAAAGAGGAATCGATGCAAGAAGTAACTCATCATGGCGACCCATGGCTCACAATGAGCACTCTGGTCAGTGGAATAAACCCTCGGCGTACGTCCAGGCGTTGTGCAACTTGGGATCCGCCATATGCTCCATCAGGTTTTCAACTGGTCCTTTCCCTGTCACGGCTGCCTGTGCTGCGAATCCCAAGATAGAGAACATGGCCAGACGCCCATTCTGAAGCTCTTTAGCCTTTAGCTTCGCCAGCTCAGTTGGATTACTGCTGTCTGCCAGGCCCAGCGGGTCGAAGAAACCTCCTGGATAAACAGAACCGCTTGCGTCGCCTAGAGGCCCTCCTGAAACCCGGAACGCCTCGACGGCAGCCATGCCGAGGATCTGGATCGCGCCAATAGCGAGGATGGTCTTCGCGGTGCAAAAGTCACAAGACTCGATCAAACTTGTCGTGCTACCAAGGATCGAGCTTCTTAGAGAGTCGATGTTGCTGCCGCCAGCGAGGTGCGAAGTTTGAAGTATCCGGAAGGTGGTCTCTGGGACGAGGCACGCGACGACGCCAAGCATAGCCCAACGCGCGTGAATGACCTGGAAGGAATCCAAGCAGCATCACCAAAAGATGACAAAGGTTTAGAAAGAAAAGTAGAAAACGAAGGAACGGGAGCCTAACACGTTGAACTACAAGCAGGAAACAGGAGGGTGGTCGAGGAAAGGTGGCGTAAACGGGATGCGTACCTCGAGTGCTGTAGTCTTGGCGAATGACTCAGGATCGACAGACAGTCCCGCCGAGCGCCATCTGCACTCTTCCGGATATTCGCCGACGAGGAAGGAGAACTGCAGTTCCCCGGGGGAACTTCGCCATCTGGACACAGATTTTAGAAGTTCAGCTTCGCCCTTCCAGACGCTGACCGACGACGCAATCCGCGGTCCTACCCGCATGGTGAGTCGAGCTCCAGCAGCATTGGGTCCTTCAAGGAGCTCTATCCTCGATCCAAAGAACGAGGGTCTGAAAGTTGTTGACATGGTGGCTGTTACAGCGGAAGACATCTTATCGAGTCAGTGCAAATCGACCGAAGGATAAGAGCGACAAGATGGCTACGAATAGCGAATGTTGCTGAAACTGTGCAAAGCGCAGAAACCGAGGTTGCAGCCTTCGAAGGGAAATAGCTTCGCCTTGTCTGAAGGAGCGTCACCGTTTCTGTTATTGCTGCTCAATTTGTACCCGCAACCGAAGTGCTGGTTCTGTGGGGAGATGGGGGGCTTGGGGGTTGGGGTGAGCAGCATGCACCACCAGCAAGAGCAGCAATTTCCTCAAGCAGCAGCCTAGGATGATGGGGTAAAAGGCGGCAACGAGTGGTGAAATACGGTGCTAATGGGTAAAAGTGCAACTAGAAATATCCAGAATCTAGGAGTGCTGAAATCTTGATGCTGATTGGTGAACGCGTTTCACGATGTTCCCCACCTGGCCAGTTTCTGCTCTGGCGGCTCGGCGGATGATTCATTTTGCTCCATCAATGGCTTGGTTTCAGGAGTCAGAACAGAATTCTCCAGCACATGAAGTCCGATCATCCTAGGTATGTGCGGTTGGTCAGCCTTGGAGTGTGATGATGGGGGTGGTCCCTCAACCCAAACGCCAAAATGAAAGACGAGCCGCTGAACGGAGGCGCATTTGCAATGCGTTGTGACATGGCAGACTTCGATTCGAGAAGTGAACAGTTGACGAATAGAAATGCAAAAAGCGAACAGCACAGCACAGAGCGAGATGTGAGAGGCTGCTCTCTGCAGCAGCTGGATTGCGCTGACCCCAGACACTTCGGAAGATAAGCGGATATAGTACCCTTCGTGATGAGCGGAACTGTAGAAGATATAACACTTGTCTGATAAAATAATGTTCTCATGTTGCAGGTGCTGCTAGATAATCTGACAATTCCCTCACAAGGAATGGCTTGTTAAATCTGCGGGCCTGCAGGGTCGTCAACAAAATGGGGAAAAAAAAGGATATAAACAATGCACGAAACAGAAGACAGCATTCTGCAGTTATGGACGCTCATACCAAACATATTTCCTTACCTTCTCTACAAGCTGTTGTACAAAATGGCGCTTGTCCACAGGAAAGTCGGGCACCGAGAGAAGAGCAAAGAGCTGCAAGAATCCAACAGGAAAGGCGAGGCCTCGTTAACGTACTTTCAACAACTATTGCCAAATAACTGCACAATAACACCACCATGAATGAGAACTTTAATCATCCCATCCAAACTCAAAACTCCTTTTCTAATGCATCCCTCTTACCTGTTTTGTGTTGTTGGGACGCGCTGACCGCAGCACCCGGTAGATCGACAGCAAAAAGTCCACCACTTCCTCCTGATCCCTCTCATTGCCAGCTGGCGTGCGCACAGTGCGCCAGCGAGGATTGCCCCTCCGCATTGCCAGCGCCACCACATCCTCCTGCTCCTCCACGCGCTCCTCCAGCCCCACATCCACCGTCCAATCCCGTGACTCCCCCTCCGCTATCACCCTCCGCCGCTTCGCCCCTCTTCCCCTACCCTCCATCCCTCCTCTACCCTCCGTTGCTCCTCTACCCTCCCCTGTTCCTCTTCCCTCCCCTGCTACGCCCCTGTCTCCTATCTCCACAGCTACTTCTGTTTCTCTACCCTCAGAAACTCCTACCTCTTCCCCCCCACCTGAACCTCGCTCCTCTCCTGCGGCTGCTTCTCTGGGCCATTGCATCGACTCCTGCTGCCGCCTCTCCATTGCTTGCGCCGCCCGGAAACAGCTCTCTGGCATGAACAGTGGATGGCTGAGCTCACGTCGCTTGTCTTCTTCCGCCGTGGCTGGAGAAATGGCAGAGCCAGTAGCAGCAGAGAGATCTGGTGGCGTAGCCACCGTATCAATAATGGGAGCAGCTGCAGAAGCGGTAGCAGCGGCAACAGCTCCCCCTCCTGCCTCAACACGACCTGCTGCTACAGCTATTGTTGTAGCTGCTCCTGCAACTGAACCTGTAGGTGCTGCTGTGGCTCCTGCTTTAGCTGCTTTTGCAGCGGTGTGAGCAGATGGGGCTGGTGCGGCAGATTTTCCGCCTGTTGTTGCTGCTGCTTCTGCTCCTGGTGCAGCAGCAGAAACAGTTGCAGCGGCAGCAGCACGGGGCACTGTCGCTTCCGAGCCGCTGCTGTGGGTAGCTGGCCGCGCAGCAGCAGCAGTAGCAGCAGCCGCACCAGGCCTCAAGGCACGGTCAGCATGAGGTGCGGCCGGAGCTGCTGCCGAGGCTTGGACAGGCACCGCACGGGGTGACGCGGAGGACAGGGGCAGACGGGGAGAGGGAGCGGACGGGGGAGTGTGAGAGGGAGGAGAGGGTGAAGAAGGAGCAGTGGGGTGAGGTGACATAGGGGGAGATGGTGATGGGGGCGCTGGGGATTCTGACCGCCGCCGCCTTTTCTGGGAACGAGCAAGGGCAAGCACACTGGGAGAGGAAGCACCGCTGGCACCAGCAGCAGCAGACCCACCACCACCACCGCTGCCAGCAGCAGTACCACCGGCAGCACCGCCAGATAAGCCTGCACCAGGCGAACCTGCACCAGATGAGCCTGCGCCGGCGGGTGGGCCTGCCCCAGGTGGGCCTGGGCTCTGGTCGTCCAGGCGGAGGAATGCCTCGTTGGCTGTGGGCATGTCTGGCTTGTCCTGCCGGTACGGGTTGCCAAAGGCCGTCCGTGCCGCCTTGATGCGATCCTGGTCGTCGATCTGGTATGGGGAAGGGGGAAGCAGGGACGGAGAAGGAGATGGATGGGACATGGCATGAAATCGTGGAATGAGCTAGCAGTGATGACTCAAGATTGTTGAATTGACTCAAAGGAGCGCCGCCTTGTGTCGGGCTACCTGATGCATGACTTGCTGGCGATGCGATGCATGGGTTTAGGTAGCAACGATGCTGGCGGTCTAACAGTAGCCAGCACACACATCAGCCTGAAGAACTGACAGATGCATGACTCCACTTCAATTCAAGCTACACGACTAGTGCACGCTCTTAGGCTACTTTGTCATTGTGCGTACATAGGGGCTGCGGGGTGGTTGCTGCCGCTGGAGTGCATCGTTGAAGTCGCCCATCTGACACACACAGGCACGGTGGGCAAGGAGGGCAAGGAGGGCAAGGAGGGCAAGGAGGGCAAGGAGGGCAAGGAGGGCAAGGAGGGCAAGGAGGGCAAGGAGGGCAAGGAAGGCAAGGAAGGCAAGGAGGGCAAGGAGGGCAAGGAGGGCAAGGAGGGCAAGGAGGGCAAGGAGGGCAAGGAGGGCAAGGAAGGCAAGGAAGGCAAGGAAGGCAAGGAAGGCAAGGAAGGCAAGGAAGGAAAGGAAGGCAAGGAGGGCAAGGAGGGCAAGGAGGGCAAGGAGGGCAAGGAGGGCAAGGAAGGCAAGGAAGGCAAGGAAGGCAAGGAAGGCAAGGAAGGCAAGGAAGGCAAGGAAGGCAAGGAAGGCAAGGAAGGCAAGGAAGGAGGAGGAGAATTGTGAACAAAAAAAAAAGGGAGGGGCCTAAATCTGGGGTGCCTCAAAAGCTGCTGAGGTAAAATGGGAGAAGCTACAAAAACATCCCAAGTGCCCAGGGCCAAAAGGGTGGAAGGGTAGTTGGGGGGGAGGACAAGGAGGGAAGGGGGGTGATTGCAAAGGATAAATGGGTTGGAGAAGATCGGACAGTAGTCAGTGTTGATTACAATTGCAAGGAAAAACTTAAATGGCATCGAGAAAAGGTGAGAGAACGTTGTTTCAAGCGTTTCGAGTTTTATGAAGTCTTAGCTGTAAGAGCCTTGAGTAAAAAAAGCACCTTTTCGATGCTGACGGTGTGCTTTGCCTCCTCCTCCGCCAGAAGTGCCCACTTCCCTACAGCACCAATCAGAGCGCACCACCTGTCAACGTCATATCCACCAGTGAACCACGGCGCTGCCACCTTATCTGCTGCAGAAGCAGCAGCAACAGCACCAGCTGCTGTGCCCCAATTTGGCCGACCCCTCCCCACTCCCTGCAGCACTCTCTCCTCTTGAATTGGGTCCAGTGGTGCTACCTCTCCCTTCAACCCCCCTTGCCCAGCCCTCGCCGCCCCTGCCTTTCCTGCTGCGACGGCCAGCCCTTCATCCTGGGACGGCGTGGGTCGAAATGCAGAAGATGGCTTTCCAGGCGCAAAGGCAGGACTGCTGCTGCTGAGGATCGCGGCGAGGCGAAGGGGCAGTTGAAGCACTTGCCTGGAGGGTGGGAGGGGCGAGAAGAGAGGACGACGACGGCGGGGGGGTGGAGAGGAAAACCGTGATGCATCAAGCCTCATTCTCAACAAGCGTGCTTGCTTTTTAATTGCACCTGACGGCCATGAAGTCCCCACAACCCTAAACCCCAGACCCTGATTAAGGGACCAATCCCAACCCCTGGTGGAGAGTTGAAACCCTGAACCCCGAATCTGATGTAGAGATGAAAGTTGAAGCCGCATTGCACAATGATGGCGAGACGAAAACCCCAAACCCTGACATCCTGATGAAGAGATGAGATCCAAAACCCAAATTCTCAACGAGCCTACTTGAAAAGATGCAAACGGAATCAAGAAGACAGTTACCAGTGCCATTCACCCGTTACCTCTACCCGCCCTCACCCCCACTATACTCCTCCCTCGACACCCTCCCTCGTTCTCTCTATTCTACTTTCCATCCCACACCCAACCCCACCCACACTCACCGCAAAGAATCCTCTCGAGAAACTTCACACGGATTCGTGAAGATGGTTGCTGGTCGCCCTTGCCCTGCCCCTGGCGCCTCACCACCCCCTGATCCCCCTGGAGGACCAACAGCAGCACCAGCACCAGCAGCAGCACCAGTAGCACCAGAGCTATTACTACCCCCGTTATAAGCACCACCGCTGTAAGCACCAGCCTCCCCAGCCTCCACAGCCCCGGGGAGGGAAGGGGGGACAGATGGCACGAGCGGATTGGTGGACGCAAGGGAGAGAGTGGGTTGAGAGGCCAAGGGCGGGGGAGGGATAGGGAAGACAGGGAAGGAGCGTGGAGGCGGTGGGGGAGGTAGCAGCTGCACTACTCTCTGCTGCTGCTGCACTTGCTGTTGTTGCTTCTGTTGATTTGGTTTGTCAGAGGGCAGTTGAACAGCACTGAGTAGAGCCAGAGGCACCTTGAAGGAGAGCGTGGGCAGGGGAGGTGGCCGGGCAGCGGCGGACTGAGCCATCTGATTGGCCGTCTGCAAACAGGCGGGCAGATCGAAGGGGTCGACAGAAGGAGGTCAACATAGAAGCAAGAACCAAGGAAAAGGGCATTCTGTCTTCAATTTCATACATACCAGCAGGCTAGTTTGCTTCATATGTGATGATAGCATAAAAATTTGTCAATTCACAACAGGTAAGCAGGGACGGATTAGACAGGCGCCTACCTTTGCAATCTCTTGCAATCGCTCTTCAATCTCCCCTTTCGCCTTCACCCGCCATCGCCGCAGCTGCGACGCCACCGGACCTGCTGCCAGGCTGGCGTCCATCAGGTCCGGCACCGCCGCACCTGCGGCTGACACGCCGAGCCTGCGCATGGCGGCTCGGAGCGGGGCGGCGTAGTACGGAGGGACGCCGGTGCAGTAACGCTCAAAGTCGTGCCGCCAGCCGGCCGGCGGGGAAGCCCTTGTATGGGGCGGCATTCGTTGGAGCTGCTCTACGAGTGGGAACAACACCTGTGCGAAGGGGGGTGGGGGGGGTGGAGGGAAAAGGGGATAGCACACAGGACGTGAGTGAGATCAATCGAGAGATCTATCACACGCCCTGCCTGGTGGGGAGAATTGAGACATTGGAAGGTGCAAAGTGAGGGCTTTCTCATCGCTCGAATGGTGCAAACAGGGTTGAAATTTCAGCAGCAGGAGCTTCACTGGCACAGCAAGAGAAGAAGCCAAGACTCACAGGGTAGTTGTGAGGCAGCACGTGCGGTGCGTTGACTCACCTTTGGCCAGCACTAAGAAACGGCGTCAACTCACAACACTCACAGGGTAGTTGTAGGGCAGCACGTGGAGAGTGAGTGAGCTGCCTGGCCGGTTCACTCTGAGGTACCTGCAGGCATGCAGGCAAGGGAGCATGGCATGCAGGCAAGGGAGCATGGCATGCAGGCAAGGGAGCATGGCATGCAGGCAAGGGAGCATGGCATGCAGGCAAGGGAGCATGGCATGCAGGCAAGGGAGCATGGCATGCAGGCAAGGGAGCATGGCATGCAAGCAAGGGAGCATGGCATGCAGGCAAGGGAGCATGGCATGCAGGCAAGGGAGCATGGAATGCAGGCAAGGGAGCATGGCATGCAGGCAAGGGAGCACGGCATGCAGGCAAGGGAGCATGGCATGCAGGCAAGGTTGCATGGGATGGGGGTAAGGGTGCATGGCATGCAGGCATAAGGGCGTGCAAGCATGGAGAGGAGGTATGGGGTTTAGGAGGGCATCATCGTAATGTGCGGGTGAGCAGAGAATGCCGTAATACGTAAGAATCAGGGTGAAAGAAGCACACCCAGGCATGTGCGCGACAGCCAACCACAGGCTCAGGTGAAGCAGCGACTCTGAGGCGCCATGGAGGATGGAGAGGGACTCACCCGAACGGATCACCCAGGCCGTTCCGCGGACCCTTGCTCCCTCGCATGAACACCTGCCGACACACGCCGACTCGCCGACACACATCCGTGCCACACAAGACATGCAGACATGCACACACACGTGCACATACGCATGCACGCACGCACACACACATGCACGCACACACACACGCACGCACACACACACACACACACACACACACACGCACGCACGCACACTCAAACGAACGCACACACATGCACGCACACACACATCGTTTGTTGTAGAGCTTGAGGATTATAAGAAAACCCTCAAGTCTCAACGCTAGACCTGTGCTCTCCCTCCCATAAACGGCTTCCAGGAGACACACGTGCACATGGAGGCGCGTGCACGCAGGATTGTATAGCATGCATGCACAACTTGCTTCCTTGCTGGATAGCTCGTTGGTTGAACAAGGCATGCACGCATGTACCTGCCCTGTTCTCATCCCACCTGCCAGCACACGTTGAGCCCGGCCTTGCTGAGGAAGCCCAGGATGGGACACCCTTCGATCTCGTACTTGTCTACCGGTATCCCGGGCAGCACCCGCTTGCGCTGACCAGCATCCCACCTGCCCTAGTCTCACCTGCCAGCATACGTTGGGCCCGGCCTTGCTGAGGAAGCCCAGGATGGGACACCCTTCGATCTCGTACTTGTCCACTGGTATCCCGGGCGGCACGCGTGCATCTGTATCCACCGCCCGATAGGTTATCACGGGGTGGGGGTCGCGAGGAGGAAAGATGGGAGGAACGGTAGGAGGGCTGGAGGAGATATTTGGAGCACCCGGGGTTCCTGCTGCCCCAGCAGCAGCAGCAGTGGCAGCACTAGGAGTGGTGAAATCCGGCCAGAATGCTTCAGGTATAGGCCAAACCACTGGAGGAGGCCCGGCGGCCGGCTGCGGCGGTGCCAAGCCTAGCTGTCCTGCCAAGCCTGCTGCGCCTGGAGCGGCCAACCCAGCTGCCGAGCCTGCTGGTCCGGTGGTGGGCAGGTTGCGAACGAATAATAGCTTTCGTTGGCATGCAGCGTGGACTTGGGGCGGCATGGGTGCGCCGCCCGGAAGTGGCACATGGTCGAATGAGACGACGACAGCTGGCGAGAGGCGCGAGGCGACAATATCTAGGTGCTGAAAGAGCATCTTCCAGCTGGTTACCACACTGCACTTGCCACTGCACAGGTTTCATGCAACGGGACAGCAAAAGAAATGCAAGCGGGGAACAGAACAGAAAAGGAGAACTGAATTTAAGTGTGGGAGGAGTGAATAAAAGAGGCATGAATAACACACTCCATCCATTCAAGAGGCACTTTTGTTAAGTAGGAGCAATAAATGAAAACATCAGCTTGGAGAAAGGCGGCAAGCAGTCTTTTTTTTAACCTTGATTGACCAGCAGTATCTGATGATACATGAGTGGTGACATACTGGATGCATGCACGTCCCCACAGTCTCGCCCAGTTGCTTCACACAGCGCCGACACACTCGTGTCCACAGCCACAGCAGCTGGCGACTCTGAGATGGGGCCGGCAGCAGGCAGAGGGCCAATCCTCTCCAGGTGCTCTGGCTTGGCGCCGGGGATGCGCAGGATGGCCAACTCACCAGCACACACACTCACGACATGCACACACCATAGCTGCACACGCACACACACCCATACTGTACACACGTCCACTCTAGACTCTCCCACCCACCCAGTGGCTTCACACAGCGCCGACACACTCGTGTCCACAGCCACAGCAGCTGGCGACTCTGAGATGGGGCCGGCAGCAGGCAGAGGGCCGATCCTGTCGAGGTGCTCGGGCTTGGCGCTGGGGATGCGCAGGATGGTGGCGAGCACACGCTGCTCCCACCGGAACGGCTGTGACGCCAGCTCGCCGCCTGGTGGGGGGGAGTTGGTCGCTGGTAGAAGGCCCAGGCTCGTGGACACTCCGAATCGCTGCACACAGGGAAGCGTTGTGGGGGGTGTGGGGGAACGGGTGGGGGCGGGGGAAACGGGCAAGAAGGTTGGTGAAGAGGGGAGGGGAGGGACCGACCCTCTCAAGGTGCTCTGGCTTGGCGCTGGGGATGCGCAGGAGGGGGGCGAGCACACGCTGCTCCCACCCACCGGAACGGCTGTGACGCCAGCTCGCCGCCTAGTGGGGCGGGCGTGGCGTTTGGTAGCAGAGCCAAATTCGTTGACGCCCCAAACCGCTGGAGATGGGGGAGGGTTTGTGGGGGGTGTGGGGGGGGGGCGGGTGGGGGCAGGGGGGGGCAGGAACCAGGGGGGGGAGTGGGGAAACGGGGAAGAAGGTTTGTGAAGAGGGGCGGGCAGAGGGCCAGTCCTCAAGAGGTGCTCAGGCTTGGCGCTGGGGATGCGCAGGATGGTGGCGAGCACATGCTGGTCCCACCGGAACGGCTGTGACGCCAGCTCGCCGCCTAGTGGGGTGGAGTTGGTTGCTGGTAGCAGAGCCAGGCTTGTTGACTTGTTAACCGCTGGAGAGGAGGGAGTGTGGGGGGTGAAGGTAGGAGGGTGGGAGGGATGGGCCGAATATTTGGATGGGGGAGACAGGATCAGGGGACCGTTGGGGAGGAAGGAAGTCAGACAGGAGAGTAGGGGTGAACGGGGATAGAGGCAAATGGGCCAACAGAGAGCGGGGTTGGATCATATTTGTGTTCCCAATGAATAAGGTGCATGCCATGCCATCAGCGAGAAGAAGCATGACAACAGGTAAGTCGGCTCAAAAGTCACCTCAGCATATGACAAATCCAATTCGTGTTACCGTACTCTTCTACTCCACTGGATTCAGAAGATGCACGTACTGATGTGAAGTGCGTGCCATCGGTGAGAAGCATGACAACCGTTGGATCCACCGAGGCGAGATTGCGACCCATGCCTGAAAAGGAGCCAGGGGCGGAGGCGGGAGGGGATACAGGGTACGAAGAAGCGGAACCCACTTCAGTGTTCTATCGGCGCATGGTGACACGTGGGTGCGTAGGCATAGATCAGCATGCCAAACTTGCACAATCTGTGTCATGAGAGTCATGTTTGAAGGAAATGAGTCGACGCACAAGTCTCTGGAAAACAATAAGAAAACCACCATCGCATCAAATACTTGCCACACTCACCCCATCGGTCAACGTCTGCCGCGAGGCGTTGAGTGTGCAGCAGGTCAAACGTGGCGCGCAGCGATTGGCCGATGGAGGAGAGACCCCCCACCTTGACAGCCTTGAGAACCCGCAGGAAATTGGTGAAGGGGAAGCGGTCGACCACCTGGGGGAGTGAAGAGCGAGAGAAGACCGGGCAGGTAAGGATGGGTGTGTACGGATGCAGCGGAATGGCAAAGGGGAAAAACCGACCACCTGCAGTGACAGAGAGCATACCATATTTATAGTATCAGTTCTCTTTTCAGGCACTTTTTTTTGTTTTTTTTTTTTAAATGCATCGACGTTTGTTTTCTTCAGCAAGGCCTCGAAAGCAAGGGAGACAGTAAAAACGGATTTGCCATGGGGAGGAGTGAAAAGTGCAGAAACATTGGTTGCGTTGATCTCATCACATTTATGCACTCTACATATGTGTGCATAGGATAGGAAAGAGGACTGATGCGGTTGAGTTAGTGAACAGAAGGGAGGGTATGGGTAGAGGAGGGGGAGAAGGGATTAGAGCACTTCATCCCACCTTGATTGCCGATGCACCTTCATCGCATGTCACCAGTATGTACCTGGACAGAAAGTGAAATAAGAACGTAAAAAACAGTAATGATCAGTTTAAGTGATAACAAAGAAACGGTAATTATGTGGTAAAACAAAGAAGAAAAAGCAAGAGTTACCTATCCGCCCTGGCAGAGATGTCTCGCTGGCGAACCTGCAACACAAGACACCAATGGGGACCAGGCCGTGGCAAGAAATAAGAATCTCTTGACGTTGTGCAAAGGACAGGGTTACATGTGCACTCCGAAACCCGCTGGACAAAAGGGTGTTTGTTAGACCTACCAATCGTAAAAGTTTTCGACCCACCTTGTGAAAGTGTTCAACGCCGCTCTTAGCACAGTCAAGTAGCGTGAGACCGTTGGCGATCCGCTGGCCCATGGACGGACTCGTGTCCACCACGAACACGAGCAGCATGGTGGCCTAGCGATGGAGTAAGAGCAGAGCAGTGATTGACTAAGAGGTAGACGCTGCTTGAAATCGTCTTAGAATATACACGGACTTGTGTCACCACGGACACCAGCAGCACGACCGCGGGACAATGACTGAACGAGAGTTAGCCTAGGATTAGGAGGTTGACGAGGATTGAACGGGAGATAGAGGTGGGACAAGTGGCGTGTGAGTGGCTTGAAGACGGCTCAAAACTAGACGCTGATGGGTTACGGAGTACGGTGAAAACGTGAGATTTGAAGCGCTGATCCGGTGAGAACAACACGTTGATCCCGTGGAAAGCGATGCTGATGTGCTAGTGAAAGGACGAGTCTGGGACAATTCAGGTGTTGATGTGCTAGTACATTTTTGAAAGGGTTCTATAGATTCTACCGCAAAGATGTTGATGGGCTAGTACGGTGGTGATCGGTATTGGAACGGTTCGGAGGAACATGGTGGAGCTTGAGACTACCACGGGAACTGAAGGCGAAGGAATGGCAATGTCCAGCGGCTGAATCTGGTTGCTGGCCGGCTCCGAAACCCGAATCCGTGACAATCGTCTTGGTAAAGAGGGAATTCGATCAGGTCACAGCGAGCACTGGACTAACTGCCTCTTGAGTCGACTTAAAAATCGATACCACTTTGAAACGGATGAATAGTGCAATGCACTGCAGCACCAATACTTCAATCAAATCCAGATGGAAGGCCTTGAGATGGTGGAGCATATAGAAATGGTTGACTTGCACGAATTGCAAGTCGTCAAACGAAATCCCGAGCTCACACTACGACCGACACGCCAATAGCCTACAAGCAGCAGATGCTGGAGATTAGGGTTGAAGGAGGAGTGACTAAGCAGTAGCAACGATGCAGCATCATGCATTTCTGTTAGTTCGAGCGAGGACACACGTGTTGGCTGTGAATTACAACCCTCGTGTGTGAGTGGGCTTTCCGCCTCTGGTTGGTCTAGTTTAGAAAGATAGAGTGGTACTGCTGTGCCAGCCTTCACCTTGAGATTTTGTTACTCTGGTTGGACTCGGTTGAATGCGGTGGTTCGAGTTACGACTGCATTGATGATGGCGGCTGGTGGTGGCCGGTGGTGGCTGGCGGCATTCCCAAGGGAACAATGGAGCCGGAGGGAGGGAGGGAGGGGGCGAGGAGGAGGCATCGGATGGGATCATGGGATGGGATCCGTTACGTTGTGGGCGTATTCCTGCTTTCGCGTCTAGCACGGAGTGTGCGTGATATCTCGGGTCCATTCCTTGAAGGTCGAGGTTGTGTCAGGAAAGAGCTGACAGGTGTCAGGCTCATAGCACGTTTGGGAAGGTGTCTCACAGTCTCCCTCATAAGGTAGTCGTTAGTGGCGGTTTCTTTTACAAAACAAAATAGATACAGCCGCTCATCATTTCTATGACTAGTGTTACGAGTGCAATTGAGTGATCAAGCGAGAATTGCATTATCGAAGCAAGAGTACAATGAGCGGAGGCATGACCGAAGAATATATAGCGAAACTATAGTGGTAAGGGTAATGCGTGAAAATGGGGTGCGCGACGGGCCTGGCGCCGAGGTTGGTAATTGCCGAGGCGGAGGTCCGGAGCGCGGGTTACCAACCGAACCGTGAGGTTGGGTCGCGTCGTGAACAGCGGCGGGAATAGTGTCGAGGCGAATGTCGCGAGTGGTAACGGTTTACTATTGGGTGTTGTTGGCGGGAACAGTGGTATACGCGCTGAGCAGGGACGCGAAGTAAGGAAAAGGAATTTTCCTTTCACTACCACCCTCCCTAAGGAAGCCCTCCTTACGAAAGCGCGTGTACATCCCGGAAAATTCGGCTGCGCAGGTACTCGGTGAGGACGGGGTGGTTTTCGATTCTATCTAGGGGAACCCACTTGTCTCGGTGGGTGTACGGTCTTTCCAGCGGATCAAGAATTCGATTCTTCGGGCTCCTCGTGGGTCACGAACTCGGTGGCTCAGAATCTTCTTAGGCGTGATGATTGGCTCGGTCGGTGGTCGTGTCATGCTAGCTGGGTGGCGGTTGCAGGACAGTTGGCTTGTGGATGGTATGTAGGGGCGAAACAGACTGGCGTGGAACGACGGGCTGACGTACCAGTTAGCAGGGAGGAGGAGGTGGGCGGTGACGGGTGTAATCATTTGGCTGATGCGGAATGGCCCACAATATTGAGGGCGAAGTTTGGGGTAATAGGCAGGCGGAGGTTCTGGGTGTCAAGTAAAACTAGGTCGTCGGACTGGTAAGTGATAGGTCGGCGGTGGCGGTCGGCGTTGCGTTTAGCGATGATGTTTGATTTTTTTATTGCGTCTGCTGCCCGGGTTCGTGCTGCTTGTATAATTTCGGCGAACTGTTGCGCTCGTGGCACCGGGTCCTCGGGATTCGGGGTCATGGGTACTGTCGGGTCTTGTCCGTAGTTCAGTTAAAACGGTAAATGTTGGGTCGTGGCGGAAGGCGAGTTGTTGTACGCAAATTCGATGAGTGGCAGCTGCTGTTCCCATGTGGTTGGATCGTCGCACGTGGCTCGGATGAGTTGCTCCATGGTGTGATTTGTCCTTTCTGTCTGTCCGTCAGTCTCAGGGTGGTACGAAGAACTGAACTGTAGTCGCGTGCCGAACTGCTGCCACAAGTTCCGCCAAAAGTTGCTGGTGAATTTTGTGTCGCGGTCGCTGATGATCGCTGTTGGTATCCCGTGCAATCGAACGATGGTGGAGATGAAGAGGCGGGTCGTTTCTTCGGCTGTGATTGATTTCTTGCAGGCTGCGAAGTGTGCCATTTTCGTCAGTCAATCGACGGCGACCAGGATCGCGTCGTTCCGACTCGCTCCGGCCAGTAACCCCGTGACGAAATCCATCATCACCTGCTGCCAAGCACGCTCTGGGGGTGGTATCGGCTGCAACTGTCTTGCCGGCCACTTCCGTGATGATTTCATGATCTGGCAAGTGGGACGTGATGCCACGTGTCGTTGAACGTCGGTCAACATTTCGGGCCAGTAATAATACCGCTGCAGCTGCTGCCGTATTTTCTCTACTCTGAAATTTCCCGAGGTAACTCCGTCGTGTGCCTCCTGTAACAGTAATTCCCGTAGCATGTCAAATGTCATATCTGCTACAGTTTGTTTAGGTTGTAGTGGGGTAGTTACTATGGGGTACATTAAGCTTGGGGTTTCCTAGTTGTACCCAACTCTTTCCTAGTTCAATCACTCTTGTTGATTCTGATGTGGTATCACGAGCCTAGGTTGCCACCTAGGACCGCTTGCTACTACGGCCCACTATTCCGTTAGAAGCGCCCTCGTGCGCCCTACCTTACGTGCGCCCTCGTGCGCCTTTCTCTCCTCGTGCGCCCTCGTGCGCCTTTTTCTGCTAGTGCGCCCTCGCGCGCCTCCCCCTTCGTTCTGCTTGCGCGCCGTCTTGCAGCCCTCGCGCTGCCTCCTGCTGCCCTAGGCCAGTGCGCCGCCCCTGCAAGCTAGTAAGGCCCTCGAGCCGCCCTTGCAGGTCCGTCAGGCCCCCGAGCCGCCTCTGCAGACCCGTCAGGCCCCCGAGCCACCTCTTCAAGCCCGTCAGGCCCGAGAGCTGCCCCTGCAGGCCCGTCAGGTCAGCACGCTGCCCCTGCAGGACCACGCCGCCTGCGCGCAGCTTCTGCCCGACCGCGCGCCACCCCTGCAGGCCCTCGCCGCTCGCACGCAGCCTCTACAGGCCCGTCAGGCCAGCGCGCGACCCCGTCAGGTCGCTGTCGCGGCCCCGACAGGCCGCAGTCGCGGCCCCGCCTGGTCGCTGACGCGGCCCCACCCTACCGCGGTCGCGGCCCCGCCCTGCCGCCGACGCGGACGCGGCCCCGGCCTGCCGTGACGCGGCCCCCGCCTGCCGTGACGCGGCCCCGCCAGCCCTGCAGCTGACGCGGCCGCGCCCTACTGCTGACGTGGCCGCGCCCAGCTGCTGACGCGTCGTCGCCCCCTGCCCGCCGCGTCGCCCTGCCCGCGGCGTCGCCCTGCCCGCGGTGTCGCCCCTGCCCGCGTCGTCGCCCCCTGCCCACCGCGTCGCCCCTGCCTGCGGCGTCGCCCTGCCCACGGCGTCGCCCTGCCCGCCGCGTCGCCCCTGCCCGCGGCGTCGCCCTGCCCGCGGCGTCGCCCTGCCCGCCGCGTCGCCCCTGCCCGCGGCGTCGCCCCTGCCCGCCGCATTGCCCTGCCCTACCCCGCACCTGGAGCAGCCGCACCTGGAGCAGCCGCCCCTGGGGCAGCCGCCCCTGAAGCAGCCACCCCTGCAGCAGCCGCCCCTGGCCCCTGGAGCAGCCGCCCTTGGCCCCTGAAGCAGCCGCACCTGCAGCCGCCTCTGGCCCATGGAGCGGCCGCCCCTGCAGCAGCCGCCCCTGGCCACTGGAGCAGCCGCTCCTGGCCACTGGATAAGCCGCCTCTGCAGGAGCCGCCCCTAGCCCCTGGAGCAGCCGCCCCTGGAGCAGCCTCCCCTGCAGCAGCGACTGTCGCGGCTCGGTCCCGCCCTGCAGCAACTGCCGCGGAGCTTCCTGCCGCGGTCGCGACCCCGCCCTGCCGCTGTAGCGGCCCCGCAGTCGCCTCCGTCGTGCGCCTGCCCTTCCCACCACTTGTGAGCACTGCCCTACCTGTGCTGCTACTACTGTTATTACTGCTGCTACTGCTACTGATGCTCCTGCTTCTACTGCTGCTCCTGGGGTGGCCAGATGCAGCTCCAGGGCCGTCCGCGTGTGTCCCTCACGCCCCAGCAGCTTCGTGAGTGGTACGCCAGTTGGGGTTCTCGGGGTGGCAGTAGTGGGAGTCGTCTTGGAGTGGGTAGTTCGGGAGCTTCTTGTAGTGGCCCTGTGCAGCAGCAGCGTCGTCCGCGCGAGACTCTTTCGCCCCAGCAGCTTCGTGAGTGGTACGCTCAGAGTAGAGGGTCGTTGAGTACTGCTCGCTGCCCGTACGTTATTAGCACGGGTGTCCGGACTGGTCAGCCTTGCGGGATGCGTGGTCATACAG